TATAAACATCACATTAGAGACTCTTATAGCATGTTTCTTCTACTGTAAAACATAGAGAAGATTCAAATGAACATTTTAATGAATACTTTGAATACATATAGTAAAAGTGCCAAGTTTTCTGCCTTTCAATTCATATAATGAATATCTAAGTAATGCTCAGGGGAAAGCTATTAGATTGTTGCTCTTTGAATAATAAAAATGTCTAGATATTAGTCACACTGAAATCTGACATACACAAGTGAAAAAACAAACAAACAAACAAAAAAAAACAGATGGCAGAATATCCTAATGGAGTTCCTACCCTGTGCTACAAAGCTCCAAATTTCACTATTTACCGATAATCTTTTCCATCAAAATATCTTCATGAACATACTTCAACATTCAATATTACTTTACTCTAGTTCTTCCCTAATTCGCAGCTAAATACCACATTTATCTTTGACAAAGAAAAGCTTACACTTTGTATTATTTCAAAATACCTTTAAAAAAGTTGGCAGCAAATCCTGCCTTGTTCACAGTTCCGTCAGAAACAAACTTCATCCACAAAGTGTTGGAGGTAGATCTGATATCTTCAGGTTTATCATAACCACAAAAACGCCCTATCAAAGGGCTATTTTCACTGGTTCCATCTCGAACTTCTAGGTAGTCATAGGCACAGTTATCATGCCTTTCAATCTGCAACAGTAAAACCATGTGAATAGCTACCTCATTAATAGATAAAACAATATCTACAGAAAAAGCATTTTGCATTCTCAGTGCCACAGCACTGACATGGCCATATAACAAATTACTTACACCCAATGAGAGCATTTCTGATGAGTGTGCCTGGTAATACCTACACTTTCTGTGAATAAAGGTTGTATTAATCTGGTAGACAGAGAAAAAAAAATCTATGAAAAAGTGCAGCCACATGCTTTAAGATCAACAGAAGTTAACTGCCTTAAAAAAATACAAGGAATAATTCTTTGGAAAATAGAATTCAAGAAAATTCAGACTTAAAATTATCATTAGGTACCTGGACTAGATACGCTGTTTCATCATAGTTCACCCACAGAGCCAGAATTTTATTAATAGAGAAGCTGAACTAGAAATATTGCAGTGTTTTAGGTTATACATCTCTTTTGAAGGAAAATCTGATAACATGGGATTACATTTTTTCATAGTCTATGAAATTCTTTATCTGTAGTTAGCAGAGCTGTGTGTGGAAAGACTAGTCACTGGCTGTCCCTGCTCAGGGTAACAGGGCTTGTTTAGATGAACCCTTTTACCTTAACACATTCCTCTCACTCTGTGCAGCCTGGAACTCAATCTCTTTCCTAAACAGCTAAATGCAAATATTAGCTCAGACTACTGGTCTATAAAACTATAAAGAAGTGCATGTTCACAGACCTTTGTTTTAGCCCTGAACTTCTACAAACAACAAACCAAAATTTACAAACTGTTTTACAAATTGTAAGACCATTTCTAAATAAATTCTTGCTTTTTACTTTTCATAGAAAATGGGCACTAACCCTGAAGTCTTAATAGAGTCAATTACTTACTAGGTATTTGAAGCCAGAAAGCACTGTCATCTATAATTAATCAGCCATGCACAGTATCACGTCTTGTCAAACATCATTCAACATACAACTCACTAATTTACGGAATTCTCCCAGTACGAAAAGAATGTCAAGAAACACGTTCATTCCATGAACTAAAATCTATATGCCTGAAACTGCTGGTATAGTTGGTTGAAGATCCCTTTCCTGATTTGTGAATATATTAACAGTGATAGTCTTCAAATTAAGATGAACAGAAAAAATAGATTTTGAAGCAGATTTGATTACAACTAAGGACTGCCTTTGCTGCTGCCCTTTTCCCAGTCACAAATCAGGATTCACTCGTTCCTTCAACAAATGTTCAGGGCCTGTTCTCTGCTGGGCATCCCTCTCCCCTCTCACTGCTCAGTATGTGTCGTTCAGCCAAATAACAAAGAACCTCACCCTCCCGGAGCTTATCCTGGTGGGTAGAGAGCAAAGGAACAGCAAACAGGGTAAGTAATAATCATAAAGCACAAGAAAACAATACATTCTATGGAAAAATACAAGATGAAACAAGACAGGAAGGATGAGAAGTGGATGCGGGGAGTGGAGGTTGCAATTTTAAATTATACTATCCGTACGAGCTCACTGTGACTCATATATACGGGTTTTTTCCCCTCAAAATGCATTCTCTTTGTGTGTGGAATTGTGGGAAAGAATTGGAAAATATTTAACACTAAAAATATCTCATTTTAAAAGCATATTTAAGCAGGGAGATGCGAGAGAGTTAGCATTTCCATTAGTAATGACGTGTGACCGGGGAGGACAAGGGCAATGTGACCAGCTAGAGACATGCCTTCTTCTCTCAATCTTTAATATACTCCCTTCAAAATCAGGGGTCTCTATAAATATGAGAACATTTCCAGATGACCAAATGCTATTCTCTGGTCAAGGGGACATATAACATCTAAAACTCTTCAGGGTACAGAGCTTGGTAAAAGAATAAGCAAATAAGCTAAAGCTGAACTGATGACAGGAGTGTAGGGAAAAGAACCAAAGGGCTCAGTCAGCCGACGATGTTTCTTCAGCTGCTTGAGCAGCACAGAATGAACTGATCCAAACTCATGAACCACATTGGGAGAGGCGGGAGAGGCTAAGTTCAAAGAGGAAAGAAAGTGAGAACACACAGTAAAGAAAGAAGATGCTTGCGGCAGAGGGTCAATTAATAGAATAAAATCACAGTGCTTCATATTGGAAGCCATACAAGGTAAAAAAAATAAGGTTAATTTGAAAGGTTTTAAATGACTAGTTTGAAGAAATTACTGCTTTAAAAAAAATTACAGTAAGAAGAGAACAAGATACAGGCTATTGAAAAAAATTACATTTCTTCAGTGATTAAAGAGAAATAGGATAATGGATATTTCCCTGTATATAAAACTCACTCTGTCCCTTTGACAGTTATAGAATAGACCTCTTTACATTTTAATGTATAGCATAGTCACTGCTTACTCAGTAAAAGTTAGAGGTTCAGATATTTTATATGACAGACAAAGTGTAAATAGCTCACGGGTAAATGCATAAAAATGACCAATTTTAGGGCTAATTCCACCAGTACCTATGTATGAATTACCTATTACTTACATATTAAGTATTATGCACGTGGCATTAGGGGTAACACAATGGAAATAGACACTATATTCCCACACAGTGAATGTCATTGTTGTTGACATAGATACCAATGACCTGAATCTCTGTTTACATATTGTTTCCAGTTTAATTGCCATAATCCTAATTGCAAAGCCAGCACAGTAAATCTGCTCTATTGGTGTAAATTACCACTATACCTCTTCAACTGTATCTACACAACAGTATTGATGGACAGCACAAACGAGAGTCTGAGTTATTCTATTTATGTTATTTGCATATCATTTTCTCCAGTGGTATCAATTACTTTATCAATTAGTACACAGAATCGATAGAAATAAATATGGTTCAAGCTAAAAAGTGGCAAAGTCCATTGATAGTATGCCAGTAACCCTAAGAACCATAAGAAAAAGAACAGCAAAATCAATGATTCATAAAAACAAAGAAAGAAAAGCAGTTTCCTCTTGATTTAAAGCATGGACACAGTTCATAGCCCTGGGACCTGAATTCAATGTCACGCACAATTACACATATAATAAATATGTTTAAATAACGATGATGCTGGTTTATTATAGACTTTAAGGTAATCAGAGCATAAACCATATAGGCGTGTGGCAAGTTTATCATAACATAAACAGATCTAACATGTATATAGAGAAAACAATGGAAGGGATAGTAAGCTGTGAAGATCTTTTTAGAAAACTGATGTATAAATGATAATGGAAGTAGATCCAAACACACAAAGAAGGAAGAACAAGTACAAAGATTAGCCAGAAGGGATTAATATTACATTTCATTACTAAGTGGGGACTCATGCCTTTACTGGCAAGTTAGAGAGGAAGCATGGAAAAGCTGAGTAATTTTATTTAGTAAGAACTAAAATCAATTAAACGTAACCTCAAGTAGTCAAGCCTTTCATTCTAACACTGCCAACCAGTGCAGAGCTTTGTGGCCAGTGCATAGGGGTGAGCTCTAAGACTGCAGGAAAGCCAGCCCTGGAGCAAGAGACCGTGCCCAGGGGTAGGACCCATTCACACACTTGGCTTTTATTTTATAATCAAATTTCCAAATAAATATACCACTGCAAAAACATCTACTGCGATACCTAGTTATTTTGAAAAATCTCTGAAAACTCCAAAACTTCCAGGTAATAGTTTCAGTAAAAGCTCTCCCATACTCTCTGGAAAAACTGAAAATAAAATTACCATATAATTCAGCAATTCTACTTCTGGGTATATATTTAAAAAATTGAAAGCAGGGTCTTGGAGAGAGGTTTGAACATCCACCTTCATACAAGCATTATTCATAACAGCCAAGAGGTGGAAGCAACCCAAATGCCTATCAGTGGATGAATGGATAAGCAAAATATGGTATATACACACAATGGAATATTAGCCTTAAAAAGGAAGGAAATCTTTTCATGTGCTACAGCATGCAAAAGCCTTGAGGATATTACACTAAGCGAAATTTTTTAAAGTCACCAAAACAGGTCAAATATTGTATGATTCCACTTACATGAGGTACCTAGAGTAGTCAACTTCATAGAGACATGAAGCAGAAGCGTGATTACCAGGGGCTGGAGGGAAGAGGGAATGGGGAGTTGTTGCTTACTGGGTAAATAGTTTCAGTTTTGCAAGATGAAAAGAGTTCTTGAGGTTGATTGCACAGCAGTGTGAATGTACTTAACACTGCTGTGTCAGATACTTAAAAAATAGTTAAGATGGTAAATTTTCTGTTACGTCTGTTTTTGCCATAATAAAAAAAAACCTCTTCTATGAGTGTTAGAATGTAATTTCAAAATATAATTAATGCTACCAACCAGAAAAATGATTAAACTTTTATAGATAATATAACTTAAAATTCTACACACTTGGAATAATGCTCAAGTCATTATTTTTTGCTTTGGGGGAAAATGTTAAAGAAAAGTATGACTAGCAAAAACAACCTAGATTTTTATTAAATTTAAATTTATTTAAATTTTTTATTAAAAATAAATCAATTTTAATATAGGAAAATACAGTAAAGTCTAAGTAATAATGCTACTGATAAAAGGAATTTTGAATAAAAAGAAGAAAAGTTGAATAGATGATTATTTTCAAATGTAACAGTATCATGTTTAATATTTTATTACTTAATATTTTTATTATTACTTTTTAATACTTAACAAATATTGATAAATGTGTAACTACAGCTCAAAAATGTAGGAGAAAAAAACAAATGTGCACAGTCATGTGAAAATCAAAACCATGAGTCTGGGTTAGATCTATTTTCATATGATTCTGGTTTTTCAATGTTGCCATTGGATTTCTTTTTTCCTTTATGACACTATTATTTTTAGCTCACTCATAAATTTAATAAATATTTACTGAAAATCTACTATTGCCAATTAATATATACTTGGTAGTGCATGAACAGTGATGAATAAACAGACATGTCCCTGATTGGCATTCAGTGATTAAATGACACAAATGTACAAATGGCAATACTTAATGAAGGGAACAAATTTAACTTGCTACCAAGACCTGCATGCAAGAGTGCCAGGCCATGAAATTGGTTTCAATCACAGTGCGAGCAATTATGAATTGTGTGACCTTTGGCAAATTTATTTAATCTAACCTTTCAGAGTAGAATGATAACCTAAACTATAATTCTGAAGAGATACTTGTCTTTTATTGTCATTAACCAATATATATTCTTAGCCAAATATCCCAGAACAGGACAGGGCAAGCATAAAATTTTAACTCATTAAGGTCTCCTTGTCTTGGCTTCCTAGTTGATTCACAAAGACTAGTCTACTCAACTGAAACTAATACAAAACATTTAAAGGAATTAGAGGATTACTTTTAATCGGGTAATTCAGAAAGCACAGTTGACCCCTGAATAACGTTGGAGCTAGGGGTGCCATGCTGGTGCAGCTGAAAAACTGTACCTTCTATCTCTGCCTCAGAAACAAAGAAACTGATAAATGACTCATCCAAGGTGAGGAGGCTGAAACAGTTGGAAAGATTCACCACTCAAACCCTAGTTCTTTTGATTCTGTATATTGTGATCTCAAATCAAACAAAAACTTTCCCCCGCACTTAGTTAAAGATCTGTAAAACGAAAATAAAAGGTACTATGCTTATTTTTTTTCAATCCACTTAAAAGTGGGCCTCAGTCGAACTTGCGTTGTTCAAAGCATCAACTGTACCAAGATAAAAACTTTTGGGGGAGATGGCCAAGATGGCAGTGTAGAAGAACTTGTGGCTCACCCGCTCTCATGAATACCTCAAAACTACATCTAAATAAGGAACAACTCTCACAGAATACATACTGAACTTTGGCAGAATATCTCTTACAATCAGAAATACAAAGAAAATCTTCTCAAAACTGGGTAGGAAAAAAGAAAAAAAGAAAATTGGGGTGGGACCTATCCCTTGTAGAGGGAACAGCAAAGGAGGAACAGCACCCTCCTCTGGGAAGCCCGCTGCCCAGTGGGGAGGTCCACTGGGACAGAAAGGGAGCTACAGAGACTTGGAGGAGAAAACAGTGAATAAAAACTTCTGTCAGAAAGACAGAAAACACTGAGAATAGTGACAACTTCTTTTTAATTATATCAGTAATTTTCCCAAATAAAATATATAAGCTGTATATTGAAAATATATTATGTAAACAAAAATCAGTTGATATAAACAGATAACTGACTAACTGAAACAAACCACATAACAACCACTGGACCAAATTTAAAATATACCCAGTAGATTCTAGGTACTCGCTCTAGTTGAGTTCTTGAATAAAGTCACTGAAAATACTGAGTTTGTGAATACTGATTCATAGCTCATAGGGAAATACATGGTTGGGTTCTGAACCCCTGGCCACAGAATTTTTGTCAGCCAATCAACACTTAAGCTTGTTTTATGTGTGTTTCTACTTAAAGACACCTTCACACAGTGGACAGCGTCCTCTACTGCCTTCTGATCACTTGGACAGTGAATAGGCCTTCTGATCAGTAAGGGAATAATCTCCAGTTATGGCATCGGCATCTCTTAGGTCCTACCTGAACCTACTGCCATCACCTCATCATTCTTTTCCACTTCACTTTAGGATCTCTGTTTCTAGCCTGATTCTATTGTTTAAACACACTCAGCAGTTCCTGACGAATTCCCACAGCTCTTGGCTTCTAATCCCTTACTCAGTTCTCCCCACCACACATAAAATGACTCATGAGCCAGCGCGGTGGTCCTGGACACAGACTTCTGACTGGCCTTTGGTTTATTCTGCCCTCATCTAATAATGTAACGTTGGTGCTGACCTCTCTCTCAATAAATATTTTTGATGAAGTCAAAAGCTCCTAAGAATATTTAAATCTCTATTTCTGATATAAACAATTGTCTGCATAATGGTAAAAAGCTGAAAAATGGATTTCCCTCAACAACAAAAGACAATCTACCTTTTAACCTCTTAGTTTACAAGAGAAATAAAAGTTCTATTATTTAATGGACCCTTCAAGCATTCTTTGTGAAAAAAGCCCCTGGGCATTTGTCAAAAGAAACTGTTGTCAGGACTTCAAACATTCTAATTCAACAAGCACAGATTATGTAAACGCACTTTAATCTTCTTGCAAATGTCTGCAATCAGAGGAAAGAAGAAAAAAACCCTCCTTGCTCTTGATGTTACATTTTATAGGCAATCCGCTGCTTCTTCACTAATTAAAAAGCTGCTTCTCTAATTCTTTGCTTCTTTAATGAGGATCCCCTTAAATGCATGGTCATTTATGGAGGATGTGCCCTGGGAAGGCTGCCTGAGGGACTTTACCTCAAAGGCCTGGAAGGTCAGTCCCACATAGCAGCCTTCTGTCACTGTGATCTTCCACACACATTCTTTCATCGGCCTGTAGTCATCGGGGTAGTTAGGAGACTGAATCTGTCCTTCATTTTTACGTATCTCACCTCCACAGATAGCTGAGGAAAGCAAAACGAAACAAATAAATAAACCTAGACATGCCATTGCATTTTCACTTTTTTCTAAGGGAACATTTTAGTTCCATGCCTGTAGCTGAGCACCTACAGACCAGGTTAGAAACATCAAGGTTGGCTGCTTATATTTAGTTGGCAAAAAAAAAAACCCAAAACGAAAAAAAAAAAAAACCCAAAACCTGGCCACTCAACTATAAATATTAGATAATAGTCAGTAGAGGAGTAATCACTGTTAATCCACATTTTTATAAAAACAAGCTTTTTTTTTTAACTTTTAAAAAACTTCTTGAGATTTTGTCAATTTCTTCTATGTGAGTTTGTGCTGTGATTCCCCGAATTGCTTCTTTTGGTCTTTCAATCTCAGGTGAAACTGCTGTGCAGAACTCCCTGGGCCCCTGGACCCCTGGCCCTGAGCAGACCTTGTGCTCAACACCTCTGGCTCCTTCCAATCCAGCCTCTTCACTGCCACCCAGTTATTCTCAGAAATAAACTCTTCTGTTCTCTTAAAAGTCTAAGGGAAGCAGAAATCTTCCGTCTTCTAAATTATCTTAATTTAGATAAAATAAATTAAATTATCTGGGCAGAGGCAGGAGCAAGAAAGGGTCTTCTCCACCCATGACCTGGCAAGAAGGAAGTGGTTTTGAAAGCCAGGAAACACAATGCCAGTTTATTGTTTAAAAGACACATAGAGCAAAGCCTCTAGGAATTTCTTCTTGAATGTTGACTCTTTCATTTAGACAAAGAAAGCTCCAGAACTGTGCAGTTTTTATAAAAGAGCATTTCAGTAGTACAGTCATCCAATACACACCAACTCAGTCAAGAGAAGTGGCTATTTCTTCATAATATTTTAATACTATCGTGAAAAAACAGCCAAAATCTAAGAACTCTTGTACCATTTGTTGCCGTTTCCCACACATCCCTGATGAGTTGGTTTTTTTCCCCCACACTTCCCGGATGAGTCCATTTATATGTTACTACATTACTGGTACCAGAAGACAGGCTGTTCTTGCAATTTAAATTTACTGAGGATTTTCATTAAAATCATCCTGCTAAACATTATAATACAGGCTTAGAAAACTTCATAATTAAGATACAGTAAGAAGATCATTCTAATGACATTGAGAGAAAGGACACTTTTGTTAAGAGATCTAAGGGGAAGTCATCTCTCAAACTCAGGGTGACTTGCCTTCGTAGGCAGCTGCAAACCCCTTTCCTACCCAGTTACTGCTGCTGCGAAACTCAATCCACATTCTGCTGTCTGTAGAGGTAAGAACTTCAGGCAATCTGTCCCCACAGAATCTACCTAAAAGAAATAAAAGAATAAGGAGAGACTCCTAAATATGGCTCTGTATTCTCATTGCTTTCCACCTGGCTGCAAACTAAACACATAAAACCTGATTTGGTTCCTATTTCTACCCCCAGTACTAGAGCCATAACCAAATGTGTGTTACCAAAACACATCGCCATGACATGACCAAAAGAGAAAAAGCTGTATTGTGTATATGAATGGCCAGGGAGTCTGTTAAAATGCAGCCTCTGGTTCAGACAGTCCGGGGTAGGACCTGAATTTGTATATTTCTAGCCTTCCAAGTGATTCTGGTGCTGCCGGTGGGAAGGCTACATTCTGAGTCTCAGAGGAAATAGTGGGGCAAGTGTCCCACATGAACACTGTGGTCAGACTGAGCCAGTCTGGCTGGCGCTGTTCCCCGCGGCAGGTGACGCTGATAGAGCTCTCAAGAAGAGTTCTCAACATTTCAGCTTCAGATTTCTTTTTCAATATGAGTCTAATGAAATGTTCTCTTTGGAACATACATACATATATTACAAATTGCTTCATCTAGGCAACGAAACTAAACGTTCAAGACAGTGTTTTCCTCAACCTGACTTATCAAATTAGTTCAGACTATTTATTTTTCCTTATTTTCAAGCATTTCTAGAGATCTCTTGGACTTATGAAGGCTGCCATCACCTTTAATACAACAGTGTTCATTCAGCAGGTTTTAGATGTTAAGAAAAAAAAGATCTGTATGGCACATAAAGGCAACTGGCCAAAGCTACTTTGAAAATAAAGGAAAAGTTACAATCTCAAAAAATAAAAACCAGTAGAGTGGATGTTCACACACTCACAGTAGCTCTCACCTTTAAGTAAAACCGAGGGCAACAGTAAAGTGCCTCACACCAGCTAATGGTGTGGTCTGTGGTTACCTGTTGGCAGCCGACTTTTGTGAGCACCAAACCTGAGCTACAGTTTATGGCACAAACTACAACCGCAGCTTCTAAGCCACAAAAACCTGTCTGAGAAGCAATACTGTGACATCTTCAGTAAGAGCCAACATCCTTGGTGTAGGAAGCCAGTGATTGAACACATTCCTAATAGCTCATGCTCTACTGCCTTGGTCAACAAAGCAAAATAAAACAAAACACGCACACGCTATTTATCTGGTTTTCTCATTAAAACTCTGATCTTTAAATTAAAAACACAGATACAGGCGATGAGTAGTCACTGAAAGCTCTCTACATGTGAAAGCTATTCTAAATCATTATGTTCAGATACAAGCACCACCTCATAATTTAAGCTAGTTTAAATCAATCATCTATTTATCTACCTGTATTTTTTCTGTGTTTGGAAAAACGTATAATACAAATGAAAACGTTAGTCTCATACATTTTAAACTCTGAGATGACTCTTGAAAGAACTCTCTTCAGACAGGACAGACCATATGCGTAGCCATGGAAGATCAAATGATCTCTTACCAAGCAGAGGAGATTTTCTCCAGTACCCATCTCTGACTTCAATGTAGTCATACCAGCACAAGCTACTTTTGTATAGGTCCATTGTAGTAAAATTTAAAACAATCTGCAAAATGGAACAAAAGAACACACAGATTAAAAGTGACTGCAACTTCACGTGGGTGATCTGATTCCTGGAGGCTAGGAACCCGGGACTACTGTGAAAATGGGATTCACAGCACATTCTTTTTATTTTCTTCCTATGTTAGTCTCTCTCTAGTGTTTTTTCTTAACAAACATCTCAAAAATCCCATTTTCTCATTCACATGAATGTTTAACAATATGGAAGCACAATGTCAATAAGCAAACTAAATATTTTAGCAATTAAACCAACGTTTCTGTAAAGTTAATTTGCATAATTGTGAAACAAACAGAAATCTTTATTCAAATAGCTTATTTTGAATTTTCTTAGATTAAATATTACTTTAAACATGAAAACTCTGACTTAGCCATGAATTTCTACTTTTTTAATAATTTATTGCAGACATCTATAATTATGTTAAAAATAACTGCCATGTGCCATCTTCTAAGAACATAATATCGTTGTGTATGTTGAAATGTTTTAAATACAGCTCTAGAATTCAAATTTGTTCATGTAACTGTAATCAAAGACAGATGTCACTATGCTTCTCTAGATCCAAGAATATATATTTAAAGAACTTTCAAGTTAGAAGATCTTGTACATGAGCCTTTATTCTGTACTTCGTTTTGAAATGGTGCTAATTTTTAAAATAATTCAAGAACAACTTTAGGAAAGACAATTTTCTTAGTGCTTTAAAAAAAGACTCTACTTTCCAAATAATTAACTATGTTTCCCTTAATTACACCAAAAGTAGAGTCAGCCTAAGAAATGCATGTATCTGATGAGGTAAAATTCATTTGGAAAATATTTTTATACTCAAAAAGGTATTCTAACTCTATTCTGCTTAAAATATCTAAGATACTTATGGTGTATAGTGAACCTGTTCTTTACTTCAGAAACAGAAATGGACTTTGGCCAAAAGCAACAAATTATGAATATTTGAAATACTTCTAATATAAAACTGTAGTTTGTAACACTATTTAAATAATCCTTTTGTGACAATACAAAAAACCTGAATTTTAGAGGTTTCTCAAAGAATGAAAAAAAGCAAAAAATATATAATCAATCTTGAACTATATTTCCTAAAAGTACTACCATTTTTGTGTTAGAAAGCATATACTTCTCCCATTTCTTGAGCACAATATTTAACAGAAAGGTAAGTAGTAACAGAAAGGCAAACCAATCCTTACTTAACTGACTTCTTCCTAAAGTGAAAATACAGCATAACAATAAACATTTCTCATGGCATCTTGTATTTCAGCACCACAATTATCACTGATAAAATTATACATGCAGTTGGTTTTAATTGCCAGTATAAATAATCATTTCACAGAGATAGAAACTAAGAATTTGTCTAGCTATAATGAAATTCACTTATAGTTTATAATGGTGCTAACATTTCACCGTTAAATTCAACATTTATCAGTTTCTTTAAACATGTACTTTCTTGATTATAAAAGGGTGGAATCTGTTAAGGATGTGAGAATAGAGACATGCTGCTTTTTAAAATGTAATACAGTAGGCGTGGCATAATTTGGTTTAATAAAACTTTTCATTAATTTCTGTCTACATTATTACAGTTTTTCTTTTTCCTTCATTTTTCTTTTCCTTCACCTGATTTTATCATGTTACATATTCTAAAAGTGTTACAAAAATTTCCAAAATATCAAAAGACAAAAGACTAATCCTTTTTTTCCCTGTCTTTTCCAAGAATCCTCAAAACTTGATTATGAAAATGCATGGCTTCTAAGCTATCTTCCTGAAGTTCCCAATATGTTTGCTTCTCTATCTTTGAATAACAATCCAAACATCAAGTTATTCTTAGGACGTAAGTGGGAAATAATTTCTGGTTCACCCTTAGCTTTGTACTTAAGCCTGCTGCAAATAAGGAATGCTACCACTGTCTGGTATTAAGCTTCAGTCTGCATTTGTAGTCTCCCTACAGCAACCGCTAGGGTTTCAACTCTGTATGATCATATGGGAACTCATTTATTGTAACAGAGATGGCAAAACTAGAAGACAGACACAAACAGTAGACCCTAAGGCTCATTTGTGGCTTTCCTCTGAGATTTAAAGGTGCTTCATAGCAGCACTATTTACAATAGCCAAAACATGGAAACAGCCTAAATGTCCATCAACAGGTGACTGGATAAAGAAGAGGTGGTATATTTATACAATGGAATACGACTCAGCCATAAAAACCGACAACATAACGCCATTTGCAGCAACATGGATGCTCCTAGAGAATGTCATTCTAAGTGAAGTAAGCCAGAAAGAGAAAGAAAAATACCATATGAGATTGCTCATATGTGGAATCTAAAAAACAAAAACAAAAACAAACAAACAAAAACAAAGCATAAATA